TGTACTTATGTCTTTGCGTCTATTATGGCGCAGGACAGAGCACTTTACAGTTCAATATGCCAGAGCATCATCCCTTCCTGCCTGGGTGTTATTGGCATGTGGCAAAGCACACATTACCTCGGACATGCACCTGGACCTGCTACCAACACACATGTGCTTCAGGCATATGGAACAACAAACTAGGTGGATAGAGCACATCCAATAATCAAGGCAATGCTGAGAAGCCAGCGGCCCACCGTACAATGCTACAAAACATGCATGTTTTTGTGCACCAGTCGAGGATAAACTCGAGTCTAGTCTGCGGCAAAGGACCCATATATGCAACCACGACACCACTGGTGCTCCCTCAGACAAACCTATTACGGGCACCAGAGAGGCATACCCATATACCTAGGTATATAGAACACGTGATTCTGTGCACATTGTATGTCTGCATGTGTGTAACTCTTGATATAGTTGTGTGCAGTGGTGCTCACTCGAGCAGTTCCCGTGTCTTACAGAGCACCAGTGGTATAGTGGTAGCATAGGTCCTTGCCACGGACCAGACCCGAGTTCGATTCCCGGCTGGTGCAGCAGTGACTCGCATGTTTTGAAGCATTCTACGGTGAACCACAGGCATCTCACTGCCTTCATTTGTGCATGCACGCCCCCATGCATGTGCACGATCCTCCATACCTACTTCGAATTTGTTGTCCCACATGCCCGAAGCGCGTGTGTGCTGGTTGCAGGTCCAGGTGTATGTCCTGGGTATTAGGTGCATTGTTGCATGCCAATAACACCCAGGCAGGAAGGAATGAATGCTATGGTGTAGTGAACTTTAAAGTGCTCTGTCCTGTGCAAATAGATGCAAAGGCACACGCACACAGCAGGGAGACAAGCAAACAAGTGAGGGACTGCAAATAAAGTGCAATACAGCATATGTGTATGCATGTATATGTGTACATATGTCATCCATCGTCATGCGTGTACACGGCTGGCCACAAACAGGATTACATATGCCAGGTTTTCTTATTAGTGCACTCTGTGAGTGCAGTAGTGCAAGTACAGCTCTCCATCCATCATAACCGACCTTAGCTTGCATTCAAAGGTGCTAGCACCAAATCCATAGCTCCATGATTAAGAGATTTGTAGGGAGCACCATACACTCGTTGGATTAGAATACATGTATCCAGCAGACACACACACACACACACACACACACACACATAAACACATAAACACATGTGTCTAGGTGCATGTACATGCACAAACATTTGGACATGCACATACCATGTGTATGTGTATGTCGCCGACCTATTGCAGCGGCTTGCAATTGTTTTCTCGAGGAGGTCTTGGACATCACAGACTGGGTACATCACACGCAGGCGCATCGAGCCCAGGGGAGCGGGAGATCCTCTAGAGGATCTCAAGATCCATGCTGAGCACCACCGTAATGGCTTCTGACCATCCATGGGCCCCCTTGGCTCCCAGAGGTGGTCCCCATCCTTGTGCTCACTTTTATGTATATGTTACATTCTGGACAACATTGAAGTCCAAGGGGGGGAGTTGTAAAAGTTTATCATTGTGATTAAGGTCCTGATTAAGGTCCTGGGTTCGATTCCTGGGGAGACCCCCGAATTAGTCGGGAGCGCGATATTATGGCTAGCTGCTGAGATGTGGAGTTGAGGTCACAGTTGATGGACCAGATTCGCACGCTGGATTGGTGGCGATTGCCGAACCCTCCGTCTCATCGGGTGTTCGGGTGAATGGATGAGGAGGGGTCCCTGAAGGCTGGATCCGCCGCCTTGGACTTACAGTTCGTATGGCGAAGTACAGTGTGGTAGTGGTGGATGGTGCTGTAAGGTGATAAATGATCTAGAACTGACAATGTGATAAAGCGGCCCAGAAGCCTCCCACTCTGTAACATTACATTTGTAACATTACATCATTGTGATAGAGGATTGGTGGTTGTGATGTCGCAGGCTCAATTCCCACTCAGCACATTATGATGACACTTCAAATCCATGGGATGAACCTTGGTGTCATTGAATCCAAGCCAAAACAGAGTACAACTTGTACAGTACAAGACATGTGCCAGAGCATATCTGAAGTGGGCTCCAGGAAAGAAGGGATGGTAGACAACGCCAAAATCACATGCTCAAAGTCGGTTTCAGAACAGACAGGCAATACATATAGGGATTCAAAAACTCTACACATCTCTAGATAGGGGCTGCATACACATATATAACATAACACAATTCTGAAGATAATTAGCTGTCCTCGACACTTTCATCCCTTATTGCATGTTGGGCGATAATCATGGCCATTATTATTGTTACATTATGCCATAGGTTCATCCTTAGGGCAAAGGCTCTACTCGGTTTGGTTGGAGCTGCTTGTCGGGCATCCACGATCCACGAGTTGTGGCGAGAGTTGAAGGTAGGTGTGCACATGAGAATCGAGATGGCGCAGCGGAAGCGTGCGGGGCTCATAACCCCG